TCTAGCGTTACAGGAAGACCATTACTCGAATAGTTCCACGTGGAATTGATCGATCCCTACGATTCTCTCTCATAGCTGCGTCCATTATTAACAATAAGTAGATGGACTGATATTAACAAAAATGTTATTGTTATTTACATTTGGTATAATAATTTATATAAATGTTAAATAATAATTTAAATTCTCGGAAAAAGTCCACGTGGACGCGAATAAATTGCCAGGATCAATCCGAAAACTCGCACTATATAATCATAGAAGTAACGAGAAATTTTTCTTTTCGAAGGACTTTTGCTATCAATAGTGTCACGCAGTGGACATTTAGAGTAACTCCAAAAACCGTTTTAGACTTTAAAACATATTTCAAAATTAATTAAATATTCCATATTTATAACGTTGCAATTCTTTCAAAATTCATAAAATAAATATCGAATTAATTTACTTACAAAATAAGCGTATTGCCATCCTGCAGCAACAAAACAGTAAGCGAAAAGAATTATCCATGTGCAAGCAGAAATTAACGCAAGTTCGATAATTCTGGTTATTGTGAAAATTATGGAACTTCACGAAGTCATCGAAAAAGACAAAGAGGGTTTCTAACTTAATTAGTATCGCAAATTTCGTCAGTTTTTCACTAAATCAGCTAAATGAAAGAAATGTCTAGAACCAGTGAACGACACATGTTGAAATATGCACAAATAATCACTGAGGATGGTCCGGGTACGAACGGTCATACCTCATGCAGGTTAAATTGAGAGGCGCGGCGAGAAAATTGGTTGAGACTGCTAGATATCCTCACCTATACATGGCGGAAGTGGAAGGTGATCCTACAAAAGGCGCTTCGAAGACAACGAAACAATGACCACTTACTACTATGACAAGTTGGCGTTGTGTAAACCGGTCAAGGTAATAGGCCAGGATGTAGTCTCCTGCATCAACAAGGGACTGCTGCAGGAACTATGGGCGAATGTTTGGACCGACCTGCAGGAGTGACACGCCAAAAGCGTTATACTCCAACTGCCTTGCAGGTCTCGAGAACTACAAGTCTCCTGCAGCAATCGTAGTAGCCAGGCGGAGCGAACCATCGACTTCAGGCATGAAGTCTAAGCGGGTGACCAGTCCTGCGACTCCTCCTAAGAAGAGGTAGGCGACAAGCAAACCGAAGGAACAAGTTCGTTGCTACAACTGCTAGGAGTTTGGCACGCACTTCAGCAGGAACTGAGCGTATCTCAAAAGTGACAGGTGCAGTTGGTGCGGTCAGGAAGGACACTGGTCCAATCAATACCAGGCTAGGAAGGAATACTTTCATAAGAAAGGCGAGACGGCGAAACCAGGGAGTGAGGGAAAAAAGGTGTAGAATATGCACCTTGAAACTGATGATGACTACAGGTGGTATTCTCTTATCCTGGAGGAAGATATTGAACTACAATCATGCTGGATCAATCGACTGGACGTTTGTGTGCCCAACGTTCAAGAAGGCGAAAAAGATGTTCGAAGACGGATCCACAGTAAGGAGCCGAGCAGGGTAATCAGGTGGGAAGGATCAACTTAGGGTAACAAACCTAGGACCACGACCACTACAGTGGAGCAGCAAGATGCAAGGAGGCGGTTGGACAATAAGGTAAGATAGATCGAAATGACTTGCGGGTGAATAATATTTAAACTATTTATTTTACAAAACTTAACGTAAGTGATATAAATAATATAGACAGGGCAAAATTAATAGAACTATTATCACAAAAAGCGCACTGTCTCTCAAGTAGTGAGAGAGATTTAGGTATAACTAATTTAAGTGAAAGGAAAATTACATTAATGAAATATTCACCTGTGTGGTATTGATTATATAGGCTGTTGCATTCTGAAAGAGTTTAGGTTAGAGATAAGGTACAAGGGCAAGGTAGTGGCGTTATCAGGGAGTCCAATTCAATGTATGCGAGTCCCTTAATTCTGATTGGTAAGAAAGACGGCTGAATTAGATTGTGCGTTGATTATAGGGAATTAAATGCGATCACGGTTAAGGATAGGTATACTCTGCCACTAATGACAGATCAGTTGGACCGATTGGCGCAAAAGTGGTTCTTTACAACATTGGATATGGCACAAGGATATAACCAAGTACATATACATCCAGACTCAACTGATAAAACGGCGTTTATCACTCCGGATAGACAATATGAGTATACACGAATTACTTTTGGGTTGGCAAACACTCTGGCGGTGTTCCAGAGGATTATTAACAAGATGTTAGGTTGGATGCGTCACGATCAAGTGTTAGTATATATGGATGATTTGCTAATTCTGACAATTAGGAGGTTTAACTCTTTTAGAATAGGTGCTAGACTTGGTAGGGAAGGCGAGTTTTAAGTTTAACATCACGAAATGTTTTTTCTTATCACTTCCATTGATTATTTAGGACATGAGGTGAGTGGAGATGGAATTAGACCAGAGTCGAGGAAGGTGAAAGCGGTGACTGAATATCCAATGCCAACGACAATTTGTTGGGTTGGCTAGCTATTTCCGTAAATATATTAAGAACTTTGCTTGTAACCTTGGTGCGTTCACTTACTCAGTTGACAATGAAAGAAGAAGAATGACATTGGGGCGGTGCAGAGCAATCAGTATTTGAAAAGCTGAAGGCGTCATTGGTATAACGACCAATATTCGGACTGAACTACCTATTGAACTGCACACCGACGCTAGTAAGCTCGAATTAGGTGGCATATTGATGCAGAAGCAAACAGACGAGTTGCAGGTGATTTCCTATTTTAGCAGAGCAACTACAAAGACAGAGGCGTTGCGTTGAAGACTTTGGTAGTAGTTTTATTATAGAGTGCTTTTCTATGGGCCTAACGGTTAAAAGTACCGTTTGTTGATTTCTTGATGTAGCCGATCCTTTCTCAGGTTGTAAATATCCCTTTTTCCAAAATTTTGAGTTGAAAGCTCGCCTTCTAAATTTGCACCGAATTGTTTTGAAAGGGTTAATCACCAATGGTGAAACTAGCCACATCCTTGGTGTTTTCCTCCTAGTTTTAAGTTATAGATATAAGAAGTGACAAGCACTTGAACTAAGACAAGCACTGGCACATGTTCATTATTAATCATTCAATGGAGATATTCTGTACATATTTGTAAATATATAATTAAGTCGACTTCGCTGCAAGAGTTCTATTTTTTTTCTACCTTCCACCTCAGATTTAAACAACACGCCTTATTAATTTAACGCGTGTGCTGATATTCCCCTTACAATAGTAAGTTCTCGAATATCTGTCTGTGAAATCTAACACGGTCAATCGTAACTACAAGTAAATTTAGTGGCTATTACTGAAGCGAATTGGTTTGGAACAATTCAATCGCAGAATTATAAAGGCATTAGAAAGATGTGTAAGTGATAAGGATGTGCAAACAGAATTGAAGGTTAGAAATGAGCGGTTGTGGCTCACCACAGGTGAAGGTGACCAACTGTATGTCCCTGCAATTGCCAAATTTAGCTTACTAAGGAAGGAAGATTACGATGTTGGGTCTCCTGGGTTCAAAATGTGTGTGGAACTTTTGAAGAAAACGTATTGGTTCCTAAGATGAGGGGGTTTGTGCAGAAGTATTCGGCAGCCTGTTTAAATTGAGAAAGAGATAAATCCTAAAAATTCTCGTACTCTCTCTTTCTTACATCAATCATTACTTATAATTTGTTATAAAGGTATAGAGATCGCCAAAGAAGTTTCACTTCTTTCACGTGTACTGAGTTGCACCTGCTTTTTAAAAGAAGATATTCGATTAATAAAATAAAAGTATAGTTCACAATAACAATGAGTAATCCTTCATTAACCTGAAAATTACTAAGAACAAATGGTTCCTCGAGCCGGATTGTGATCGGTGATAACGTCAATAAAATACGGTGTGCGAGACTCAGTTATAGTGCCATAAACCCAAAAAGGTTCAAGACCCATCCGTAAAAAGAAAAAACATCAACGTGAAACCCGAAACGTTGAGAATAAAAGTTGAAACGGTTAATACAATTTTAATATAGTGTTATGTTGTAAATAACATTCGCGCAAAAAAAGACCGTCTGGCGTGGCAAGTTATTTACGAGGTACAGCAACAAAGGGCGTCCTTTAAGCAGCAGATAGGAAATTCCCGGAGTCAACACGTTGAAATGATAACACGCTAATTAATAATAAAATAATAATTATTAATAGACTATCAAAAGAGAAACCGTTAAGTTCAAGGTGTAAATATTTATGGACAATGCGAGTATAATTCGAGTAGGCGGACAATTAATACATTCAAAATTGTCATTCGTAATACAGCATCCTATTTTACTTCCCAAATCTCATCACATTACTGATATCATTCGAATGGACACGCATATAAACAACTTACATTTCGGGATTCAAACGGCATTATATGCTGTGCGGCAAAAATTTTAGATGGTTGACGGGCGAAACCACGTTCAGAAAATGACAATACATAAACTGTTTTCGAACTTTACCAACTGTACGAGTAACTCCAGTCAAACCGTTTTACAATGTAGGAATGGACTACTGCGGTCTTTATTATAAAAACTAAAAGAAGCATCGGAATCGGTCACGAATTAAGATTTATGTTGCGATCTTTGTGTGTTGGTAGTCAAAGCTGTGCATATCGAAGGTGTCGCTGATCAGACGACAGAAACATTTTTGGGTGCTTTTCGACGCTTTCTTGCGAGACGGGGTTGTCCGGAAATAATTTGTTCAGACAACGAGACCAATTTCTTAGGCGCTAGTAATGATATAAGAGAGCTGTCTATTCTTCTTCAATCCGAAGCAAAAGGTTGTTAACTATTCGGACGAAAAGGGAATCCAGTGGAAATTTATACATCCTCGTGCGTCACATTCCACTGTCAAATAATTTATTCCACTATTTGCGAACAGTGATCTAATCTAGGTATACCTCTACCCCTCCTAACTTCCGTTTCTGCCTCTAATATGTCTCTAAGTAGACCTTCATGCCTGAGAAGGTGTTCTTCTAACCTATCTCGCCTATTTCTTATCGACTTCAATAGAATCCTCTGTTCTCTTGCTCTTTCTAACACCTCTTGCTATGCCTTGCTCAGTCGGCAGGGGTTCTTCACATAAAAATATTATGCTTGTGCAAATAAAACAAGTTGTTCTAAGCTCATAAAACATATAATTCATAAAAGGCAACTACCAACTACGAAACACAAAATAAAATCAACTAAAAACCAAAACACAAAAACAAAAGCAAATGATATAACTTACAGGTACAAATGTTGAACTCAATACTCTAAAAAAATGTCTCTTTTCAATCCCACCTTCGTCCAGGACTGCGCTGAGGTTCCAGAATTGTTTTAATCTTGTACCAGGCAATATTACGTCGATATTCAAGGTAAGTATTCTTAATTATCAATGAATAATTAATACTCTTTTTCTCTTTATTATTATTCGTCTTTCAGACTTGGACCTCGATCCAACACCAAAAACTAGCCAGCTCGGCTATTTCAAACACAACGTGTATTATACATCGTTTCACTGTGGCGGTCAACCTCCGTCTGTCTCACCTGATAACCCTCGCCGTACATCCGTCTGGATCCCCTCTTTTGTGCGGCTCGCTTTGAACTTCCGAAGCACATCACTCTTCATTTGTAACCTTCTCTGTCCACGTTGTCCTTATCATTCGCCTGTAACACCACATTTCATTTCGAACGCTTCTAGCCCTTTCTTTTCCGCCGCGCCCATGTGTAATAAAAATTACCGTTTATGATTTGATGCAGGATTATTGTATTAATGCTTATTATATATTTTGCCTTTACCATAGAATTGATAGAAAACGAGTTAATTATATAAAGAGGACTAATTAATATTTCCATTATCATTGAAACAGAAAAATACGTATATATCGATTTAATTACGAAAAATCAGCTTCACAGTTCCTCAATTTTTCACTTTAGAAGAATTTTGTTTTCAATTTTCTTCTGTCATCTATTGCACGTCCAATGTGTGCAATGAGTAGCCAATAGTTTAGGCACAAGATGCTATCTCATGTGTAGCCTCCACCCCTCTAGTTTATACTCCGTTGCTATATTATTCCGTAGTTCACATTCGTCGGTTTGCGACATAATTCTTTTAGAAATACTCAATCACCAAAATATTATTCGGATGTTTTGGAAACTTTTCCGACTACTGCGGTCCTTATAATAAAAACTAAAAAAAGCATCGGAATCGGTCACGAATTAAGATGTATGTTGCGACAAATTAAGTCGTTATTGTTGATAAATAACTTGTTTTGAGAAGTGCCGTTATAAGTCCAACCCTATAATGGTTATGTAAGAGTACAGAAATTCAAAATACCTACCTTGGTGCTCTTCAGGTTTGCGAAAGTTCCGTGGTAAAGGTGTGAGAGCGTACAAAATGGGACTCCCAACGTATTGTTCGGATGCAGGACTATTTTTAGGTCGTACAATATTTGTGTACCGACCTTTAACTTGAGCTTGCATTCTTTCGAAGTTTGTCACTTTAGTGGAATCCAAAAACTGAAGATGTGGCAAACGATAAATGACATAATACCTGAAATAATTAAATTATTTATTCATTTTAGTCGTTATTAGTTGTATAGTTAAATAGCTACTTCAAGTGAACTCAAGGTCGTCTAGTACTAACTTCAGTCAGCACCTTTCGGATTGCTTCGTAACCTATAACTCACATGCATTTTGCCATTCCTTACATTAGAGCTCTATATGAAGTAGGTATCGTCCGCCATTTTGGTTCTATTCAATAGAGATATATGCTCTATTAAACATTTCATTTAAATTTCTGAATTGTTGATTGTACGTGAATATACCTACTACAGATATTAGATATAAGTAAAACTCCCGGTGATTGATTGATGAAAAAGTTTCAAGTTATTTAAAACATACGTGTTATAAATAGCGCTTAAATTGAAAAAAAAAACGAATACTATTATGTATCCAAGCAAACTCTATTATAAACGATACCACGAGCCTCATTTGACATTACCCGTTATTCTTTTTTCTTCAATGGTTGGAATGAATCAAAATAGCAGCCGAGTATATACTTCGTTTACTTTCTGTAGCGATGTGACCTTCAGTTTGACCGGCGCAAGGTAGAAAAAAACAGCACTAGGCTAGAAAATGAAGGAGACAACTCCCGGTCAAACTCTTAACCAGTGAGGAGAGTATAATCCGTACAGTACTGCACGGAATAATTGACCATTTTATCCACTACAGTTTCATTGCTCAAATGTGCTGTGATTGGTACCATTTACTACTGAAAATATCAACGAGATGTTTTTTTAAATTTGAAGACATATTAAAGGCTTCAACGCTTGTTTTCGACTCGCACTACTATTCATGATTGAACAAAACTTTTGGTAGGTACTGTATGAAAAAGTATGTTTCATGAACAAAACTACTCCCAGGGTGTCAACTGTGATAATGTTTAAAGTTGTCTCAAAAAATTTATAATAAGAGTCGAGAGTATAATGAGCTTTTTTCTCCATGCCTACGATTTTGCCAACGCGCATCCAAGACATTGGAAGGGGCACATCGCTACAGAAAGTAAATGAAGTATACCTACTCACCTATCTTACACTAATCAAATCGTGTCCTCATAGTGATCAGAAACATCTAGTTACGTGGGCGAAGCGAACAAATCGTTGTAGCAGACAAGCAGCTCGTTATCGTGTACCAAGCAGGCAAGGTAATTGGGTGTATCATAAAAAACTTAGTATTTGCTGTGTTTACGTATGTGGCACCAAATTAATGTTGGTGGTGTAGGAAAGTTTTTTCTAATCGGCATTTATTTATTATTTGGGCTAACCAAATATTAATGACGTATATGTAGAATGAAACCAAAGAGGGCCGCTGAAAGAGGGCTTTTAAGTTAAAGTCAGTGGTGAAGTGGCAGTCGGCGTGTAAGGATGTGTAAAGCGCCTTAAGGGCGATGGTTACTCTGTTGAGAGAGTAAGATGCCATAATGACAGTGGTTACTATGGTGAGAGAGTAAGATGCCGTAAGGGCAGTGGTTACTCTGATGAGACAGTAAGGTGCCGTAAGGGCAGTTAATATTTGATAATATTGAGAAAGTTGGTTATTGTGCACATATTACGTAATTTAAGTGTGGTTGTTATTGTTGAAATGTAAGGCCTGTAGAAGTGTAAGGCGAACGGCCGACGGGTCGAATGTACCTTTAGGTGGAGTGTAAATCCTGTGCGTCAGGTAGTCCACTGCAGATCTAGCTAGATATGCCTGTAGTGGCAGTGCACCTGTGGGTAACGTGTTAATGAGAGTAGAAGTCCACTCCTTGACCTGTCGTATACAGCAGTGGCCTCAATGTCGGTAAAGCCACAGTATAAACCTAATACAGTAGTTGCACTCCTTTAATTTACGGTATTCAAGTGTATGTTTGCGCAGGTTACTGCGCAAACTTCAATTGGAAAGAAAACGTAAACAAACTNAAAAAAAAAGTAAAAAAGTTATTACTGTTCAACATTTGTAAATAAATTCTTTCTTTGTAATTCTTTTTATTTTTCAATAATAGAACAAAGAACAACGCCTGGAAACCTGGAATGTATATGCGACTGAACTGAAACTTAGTATTTTTAATTTTGTTAGTAGTTAATCATAACCAGATTAAATTAAACGAAATATTTAAGATTCAGTGTTAAATTACAAAATAAATTTAAATTCTCACTCGACAAAACGCAAGATTATCGAGAGAGTTAGTATTTATAACAAAGTAACTGTCGATTGTTTCCAGTTGAGATGGAAAGAAAATTTTTACTTTAATTTTGGTTATTTTATAATTATTAACACTTACTTTTTATATGCATAGTTCTGTTCGAAACATATTAAAGTTATTCCCACGATCCCAACTCTAGTATGTACTTAGATCCCATCTCTAATTAGGAATGCGCAGTAACTTGCGCGAAGTTCATTTAAAATCAAAAACATCAAAGTACCGCTGCGAAGTGAAACTACTGTATAGAGTTTATACTGTGGTAAAGCTGCGGTTATATCGGCACAAGGGCGTCCAGTAGAGGGATAAGTCTCTACATATAGCTTGCCAATGTAAAGATAAGCATTGGGAGCGATCTATGCATTCGGTCAATGCATAGAATACCTGGTTATTTAGCTGGGACCTAGGCAAACACCTATTGTTTCAGGCAGTCTACAATCGTCATCAGGGGTTCTTCGTTGGACACAACAACAACACCGAGTTCGACGTTGGGATATCGCAAGGGCGGCAACAACTGGGGCGTCGGCCCGCGTAACTGCTTAAACTGTCTATCGCATTGTATTGTTCTAATTGGGGGTTTTTGTTTATTTCCTTACATGTTGTTTTACATTCATTGCCCCATGCCACTTCGCAAGTTGTAACTCTCGAGGGGAACCCACTGGTTGCTTTGTAATGCTGGTAGGGGAAAATAGCTGTTAGGCTATTGGTATATATACATAGTAGATGAAAAATATCATCATCCATACTAATAATAAAAAACGCTCCTACAGTGGTTTAAAAGCTGCATATAATAATTCACTACCGTTTTATATACATACATAAAAATGACGTTATAATAATTTTAGTGACTAGTTTGTCAGTTTCTTTCTGGCAACAAGCAATACTGAATATCAAAATATAACGTTTTTAAATAAATTTTCCGCATTGAATTATCCGAATAGTAATTTTTCCGGTAGTAAATAATTCCAGAGGAATATTCTCCGACGTCAATTTTTCGGCAGTTACATTATCTGGATAGTGATGTTTCCGCAAAAAAAATATACGAAAACACATTAATGCAAGTTTAGAAATAATTCTGTTTATGTTTGGTCGACTTAACTTTGTGTATGTGTTACGTTAGGTAGAGTAGGTTAGGTTAAAATTAATAACAAGTCATTCTCCTTCTAATCGTTCTATTAAATACACACTTATAAAATATAGGGAAGGGGGCACTGTTTCACACCTTAAGTATTCGAGTACTGGACGAAGTTCTTTACTAATCTCGTCAAGCAAAATATTGAAGAAGCGGTATAGTTGGGACGACCGAAATCGACAAAGTATCTGTGAGAATAGGTGTATCTTCTTTCTTGTTTCCACTTGGGACTGTAGTCATTTGATGTGTTTTGAACACGCCCTTATTAAGTTAGGAAATGCTTCATGAGTAGTACAGTTAATATGTGAAAATAAACAACTGAATAATAGTAAGCGGTGTGGTGGTTAGAGGTAGCTTAGGTACACAAAAGAACAGGATCGGTCTTATAACTGCCTGGTTGGAATTATATCTTTTTATCTTTAAACAAGCACCTTTGCTTTCCTAAATTTCTGAGATTATTAGTGTCCGCTGCAGTTCCTACCTGATATCTGTTTACAATATTTCCTACAACGTCCGTGGTAAGTAAAAATAGGTGTTTTGTCGGCAACCGCTCTTGTCTGGTTAGTGAGTTGAAAGAAGAAAGTAAATACGACAGTTTTATTAAGGACTCTGTCAATTTTAAACGTCCCAACTATACACATCATTTACAGGAACAAATACCAATGCTAGAATCATATGTGTCTGTACGTGAATTGACTAGTCAGCAGAATTATAGAACGACTATTATAATGTATGTAATAATCCTGGCGAAAATCTGAACAAATTCCACTGGAAAAACGGAACTTTAAAAATTGATTACGAAAAAAATTCTCCGGAGAAAAAACAGGAATTTCAAAATGCCCGTAATGTCAACTGGAAAAAGTGAGTCGGAGAAATACTGATAACAGTCTGTTTATGAGATAGGTATCTAATTAAATCTTCTGGCTTGCTAATGGAAATATAGCAACTGTGGTGATTTTTCTCAAAACACTACCAAGTGCGGTGATTTTATTGCTAAGGGGTACTACTACCTGCGGTAATTGTATCAATTAACGGTTAATTTAGAAATTCCAAAAAGATTGTTAAAGGTTGGTGTGCCTAGCTCAGTCGACAGGGGTTCTTTACATAAGAATATTGTTTGTGCAACAACAACTTACAGGTAAGAATGTTGAATTAGATACCCTAAAAATGTCTGTCTTTTCAATAAAACCTTCTTCCAGGACTGCGTTGAGGTTCCAGAATTTTTCTAATCATCGACCAGGCAATAATACGTCGGTAAGTAAGATTACAATTAGTATTCTTAAATTATCAGTGGATAATTAATACTCCTTTTTTTATTATTACTATTTGTCTTAATTAGACTTGGATCTCGATCCAACATAAAACTAGCCAGATCAGCTGTCTCAACACAACGTGTATTATACGTTGTTTCACTGCTGCGGTCAACCACCGTCTGTCTCACCTGGTATCAACCCTCGCCGTACATCCGTCCCATCCATCCCCTCCTTTGTGCGGCTCGCTTTGAACTACCGAAGCACATCATTGCCCCCTGACAGTTTCGATTTAAACCCATCAGCGGAACTGTGACTGCTTTTACCCGCACTGAACAACTCACCCTGCTAAAAATAAAATACAACCTCCCTTCGCCTTCATCCTATATCTTAACCTATCTTATACTAACATTAACATCCAGAATAAGTCAGTTACATTTTTTTTAATCTGACTTAAAAGATTTTAGGTGTGAATTCGGACCAATACGGCTATGCACCACGTATGGCCCCTCGAACAAAAAGAAGAACTTTTTTATTTCTGAGTTTTCTAATGAAGACAAATTATGTTGTCTCACCAGTACTAGATCACCCGCTTTAAACTCTGTTATTTTGTTCCCCTTCGTATGTTTTTGTTTCCTTCTTTCGGCGGAACTAACCAACTTCGCATATGCTAACTCCCAGACTTGTGCCCAAGTCGCGGAACTCGTTGGATTACCAGACGGGAACTCGATCAGGTTTCTGATATTATTTTGTTCGGAAATCCCGAATTGCAAGAAATTCGGAATGTACCCCGTGATACTATGGGTAGCATTATTTAAACAATTTTCCACCTCCCTTATCTTAAATGCCCAATGCGTGTGTTTTGCAAAGCAACAACCTTCCTATCTCTTTATTTGACCTCTCCGTAAGATTTCCCTGCGGGAACTAAGTTGATATAGTTTTAACACGTACCTTTAGTTCTGTTAAGCGTTCCATCCATAATTTCGATCTAAACTGCGTTTTGTTGTCGCTAACTATACATTCCGGTATTCCCACATTAAGAAAGTAAT